ATGGTCCACATCTTTTTCTTTTGTTTTCTTTTTCTGATTTTTATATTTTAATTGTTTTAAATTTCAAAAAATCATAGAAAATTCATTTTTAGTCCAAAAAATCTGAAAAATCTGAAAAATATTTTTGATTATTCTCTTTCTGATTTTTATTTTTTCATAATTTAATTTTGTGTTTTTGTATTTTTTATGAATTTTATACTTATTTGATTTGTTTAAAATGTTTAAAAATACTTTTACACATTTTTAAATTCTGAAATTATGGAATGATCCAATGATATTGTGACAAATATTGGTGACCTTATTTTATTTTTGTTGCCAACTTTACTATTTTTTTTTACCATTTATTTTAATTTTTAAAAATAGTTTCTGACTTTTAAAAATTCTCAAAATTTTTGTAAAATTACTTGGCCTCTTTTCTGATTTTTCTATAATCTTATTTTTCATTTCTTGATTAATTTAAATATAATTGATATTTTCCTCATTATTTCCTTTTTTTTAAAATTTTTTTTAACCTTTTAATATATATATCAAATATATATAATTTTTGTGATTATTTTCTGGCTGTCTTGGGTTGATTTTTTTCCATCATGGATTTATTAACATCATTGGATCTTAGGTGTTGAGTTAAGCTCCACCAAAATGGATGAATAATTTTAATAATAGTTTGATTTAAATTTTTAATTCAAATGTGGTTTCTCTTTTTATCCTAATTCCCTTTCATCTCATCCCTTTCTCATTGCACTAAATATTGTTAGAACATGATCTCTATATCATGTCTCAAAACAAATGGTTCATAGATTGCTATTGACCGGCCTCAAAATAGGTGCGACTTCTATATAAGTCCACTTACGATTGCTTAACATAGCGCTAAATTTTATCCCAAATTGAATAAATGATCATTTGTGGCCCAAACTTATGATTGCAAGCCCAAGTATGTTAATTTGATCTCTTTGATTCAATAACCTTGAGATTCATTGTGTGGAGGCTTTGGTTCTACCAATCCTCTAATGGATCTATAACACCTTTGGTCAACACGGATCACTTAAACATCGTTGATCATTAAATGGTACTTGTGAGAATTTCAAATGGATGATATACTTGACAAAAAGCAAATGCAACTTGTTGTGTGGAGGATTTGGTTCTACCAATCCTCTAATGAGTTCCAAATACAAGTTTCAAAATGTTCATCCAACTAACCACTAATTATTGACTTGTTTTACCTTATGCTCTTATTTTTTTTTATGCTTTATGTACTATTTACTTTTAGCATTTACATTTCATGCCATTTTCATATTTGCTCATTTGAGCATTTATTTTCTTGCCATTTTTACTTTGCTCACTTGAGCTTTTCTTTTCCTTTCTTAAGATACTTAATAATCAACATAAACCCTAAAAAATCTTTAATGACACTTGGACTATTTGGTCACTATCCTTGGCATTATGGAGCATGAGACTATTTCTTGGACTTAGGATTAGAAACCTTGGCCTATCTTGGAGACCTTGTGATCTTATCTGATTATTTTGTCTAGAGTTCTTGAGGTTTACCTCAAGATATTGGGTTGCTTGTTTGTTTTTGTGTGCAGGTTTTTGTGATTACATCCTTTATTTGTAATATGGAATTCACTCGCATACAGTCGTTACTCTACCCAATTTTTGTGAAGACTTAATACACTTGAAGAGGTCTAGTATCTTTGCTTGCTTGGTTTCAATACAAGGAATGAGAATTCTATCTTGGCTCATAATGTCAAGTTTTGGCTTCTTATTGATTAGATGGTTTTTATCCCTAGCTTTTACCTTATGCTTTAGTATAGTCTCTTCTTCTCCTCCCATCTTCTTTAATTTCAAAAACTTTCTCCCTCCTTTTGAAAACTCTTCTTGTTTTGAAACTTAAACCACTTTCATAATAAACTTGGACTTAGATCCATGCATTTTCGAAACATTTTCATACATAAACTTCAATCAATTTAATAATACTTTGACATTTTTTATGAAAAGACTAAAAGTAAACCAATCTCATTTCAAACCATTTTGCCACTTTGACTTTTATTTTAAAACTTTTCTCAAAAGGTTAGACTCTTGTCAATCCTTATAGTGATGCAAACAACTATACTTCTACAATATATAGTAAAGTGAGATATTTTCCACTTGGGTGTTGAGTGAGGCCTTGTTGGTTTTAAAATCCAAGCCATATCCTCCACTTTGAGATGATGCAGATTCTTCTTTCTCATGATTGTGGGTAGTAAGTATGTTTTCCACACGGACAATAACGATGATGTCTTATCTCTTAAAATCAACCAACACACTTGTGTTTCAATCTTTTAAAAGAGGAACTACGTGTACCCTGATCCCCTATTACATGAAAGGTGGTACGTAGGCACTAAAGGTTCGCAACCACGACGGGTGCAAAAATCATAAAAAATATTTCTTTTCTCACCTCCACCATCCATTTTATATACAACACATTTTATATAGCCAAAATACACAGATTTTACAAAGAGGTTCCTGCGGAGTACCGTAGATGTTTAGGGTGCTAATACTTTCCCTTTGCATAACCAACCCCCTTACCTTGAATCTCCCCCCCCCCCCTTTTTTGGGTTATTCGCTATTTTCCCATTCCTTTAGAAACAATAAAGCACGGTGGCGATTTTTATTTTGATTTGTATAAAGTCTAGTCAATCCAATGACTTAGTCTTGAACATTTCTACAGCTACAATCGTGTCTACCGCTGATTGAATACAAAAAGTTGCCTTGTAATCCTTCTTCTTTGCATCCATGTGGACAGTTCTCTGGTTTTCAGTTGCATTCTGAGCCAGCGCAGAAACTCCATTAGTTACCACTTCTTGAGTTTCATGAAAGTCAAACAACAATTGCATTTGTTTACTCCATCATATCCAATTTTTTTCATCGAGAATTAGAAGATAATTTAGAATATTGCCATTGTTACCTTTCATTTTTGCAGCGATTGATTAACAACCCACGATCTCAAAAACACGATCACCGACGTGTGATTCTTGAATACATGATCAAGAACCTAACCAGAACTCTAGATATCAATTTATTAGTGTTTGATGCACTTTGAGTGAAAGAAAGAATGAGAGAGAGAGTGAAAGGGAAGTAATTGAGAATTATTATTATTGAAAAATTATAAAAACTGAATTACTAATATGTGTATATATACAACTATGTGACTTGTATACTAAGTAGTGGCATAACAAACCCTAACTAACTTGCGTTTGAATTTGGGCTACTTGGATTATTCTCTCAATAGGAATCTCATAATCCATGAAGAAGAAAGGTGAATTTTTGTCAAAGGCCCATGGTCAATTGAAGACAGCGGATGAGGTGAAACTCGTTTTTGATGGGAAAAAGACAGTCTTGGTAGAGAAACTTGCTTTGGTAGTGGAGACTGGGTATAATGTCTTGAGTGCTTTCTTTGAAAATGATATAAAGTAGATGAAGTTCCTTAATCCTAGTCCCAAGTTTCTCCGTGACCAGTTTGATCACGAAAATAAATTCATGGACGGGAAATTGATTGCCCTTGGTGAGGATCCACTTCCAAATGAAGAACCAAACTCTTTAGTTTTTACTGGTTTGTCTTCATTGTTGTAACAACCTTATTGGAAAGCTACTTTAGTGAAATAAATATTTGCATTGACCATTTGGCATTTATCTTAATTAAGTACTGGTTTTCTTTGTGTTATTTCTTTTATGTTTGTTTTCATGTAATGCATTGCTTACTTTCTGCAGTAAAGAGTTATACATTTTAACTTATAAATTTATCATGGTGGAATTTCATACTTGTTTCTTACTGGCCAATGTCGACTTTGAGTGGCCTTTTCGGGGAGTTGTGTTTGGTTGATTCATTGGACGCGTTTAGGAAATGCACTTGACCAAGAGTTTATTCCTCTTTCCTTCTCTCAAGTGAGGACTTGGTTTGAGTTTGAAGTAAGTGAGGCACCACCGCCACCTTTGTTCTAGAGTGGTTAAGGAAGGGAATAAGCCCACCGCACTACTTACGCATTTGAGGTTTATGGTGTCTATATGTGTGTATTTGTTGAACAAATGACTTCAAACACAAAATACACTGGAAAGGGGTGTGATTTTCAAAAAATGAGATTAATTTAAAAATTCTTTTCTTAAAAAATGATTTATGTTAGTTAGCAAATAAACAGAGATAAAGTATTGAAAAAATAGAAGACAAATAATTAGAAGAAAGAAAATTACATAACAGAGAGTAAAGAGATAAGGATTGAGAGATTGCATTATACTTTATACTAGTTTACCCTAACCACTTAATCTATTCCAATCCCCAAAAATTTCTTCTGAAGAGTTGCACTATCTTTGAGCACTAGGGCCGCTCAGACATCTCGTCTGACAATGGTTCTCCCTTCTTATTGCCATCAAGTATACAATTGTTCTCTTCATGGTTCCATTGATGTTGTCTTCAAATGCAAGAACTCTCCATAGAAGCAATGAAATGATAGCCCTAATGACGGACACTATGAACAGTTTTCTTTTTCCAACTGTCTATACTACCATATGATATAAGGGTGGCTGATCATTACTCCCTACATAAGAGTATATACTTATATTTCGGGCAAGGATATACTCCCTTTAAGGCAGAAAAGACACCATGCCTTGCTGCCATTTTAAAGGCACATCCTTGCCCTTATATTTCATAGCATGTAGTCTTTTTCCAATTGTTTCGTACACTAAACAAGGAGTGGCTTTATTATTATTATTTTATTTATTCAAACCCATTCTGCAATTAAAGGGAATCAAACAGGACATACTGCTCAGTGACTCATGACTTTCAATTATCATTTACATGCACGGTAAAATAATGTCTATAATCATATTATAATTATTGGAATCAAAACAAGTAATACTAAATTACATCTTTTCATAAAATACGTCTCTGTAATCAAGGAACAAAATCAGCCTAACCACATGTCAATATTCCAATTGGAAACACTGAATCCTATACAAAATCTAACATACTATAAAAAGTATTTCATCCTGTCATCCCTCCTCATAGCATTATATACAGCTTGGACCTGGAAAATACACCAAAATTCAATATCAATGTATCCTCACCTAGGATCATTTGCAGAGACACAATTTACACTTTAGAAGAGGATCACTTCAGAGAGAGGAAAGAAAAAAAGGGAACTAGACAGAAATACCTGTTCGCTGGAAACAACTTGGACTGGCCCAATGTTTACAGAGACGTATTTGCCCCTTGCTGATAACTTGTGCTTCACAGATCCCTAACAAATGAGTTGTCATTTTTGAAAGATGAACATCAACTACCAAACATAGGTGTAGATGGAACATATTAATGAGAACTGATCATGCAATATTTCACGCTCTACCAATAACAACTTGGAGGAAGTCACTGCGTGCAGGGTAAAAATTATACTTCAAAACACATCAAATTTTCAATCAATGCCATCATATATTTCATGTGTGTGATCCCCAAAAAGAACTCAGGGTTGGTCCATTTTTTAGGTCCTAACTTATGGTGGAATTCTAATAATCTTGGTGCCTTTTACGGAGCAATCAAATTCATCATCACCCATCAGGACACAGTTACGAGTTTTAATGTTTAACCATTTTGAAAATCACATGTCCACCACACAGCTATGATTGCTATGCAGCAGAGTAGGTAAAAAACATATTCATGTTGGCCATCTGGTGCCAAATTAAAAACATCTGACTCAGCGTGAGAGGAAACTGAAATACAACCATAGGCTACCCTAAATTCTGCTTACTTTGGGACAACAGGTCACCAATCATCATCCAAACTCTAAAGAACGAATGAACTCTTCAATCCAGTCACAAATAACAAGCAAACCCCTATGTTGTAACCTTTGATTGATGTTGGCTGCTTGGCTTACAAGTTTATTCTTTACATCAATACTTTAAGTCTATTTCTCTCAATGTGTGTGAATGTGTTATAGTGCATGCATGTAAGAGAGAGATGCCATATAATTTTCATTACTATAAACACAAGATAACTATTCAGTTTGAGCTCCACCAAGCAGACAAAAGTGTAAGTGAGAACTCTCTTAAAAAATGCCCGTACTTCATTCATTTTGAGCAACTCTTAGAGAAAATTTTCAGAACCATTTACAGCTCATATTTGCAACCATGAGTTTGTGCTTAAAAGTCTTTTGATAGTGTAAAACCCTCTGAATGATCAGAGCCCTTCATGATGCAGGGTCCTGAATTGTGATCATTAGTCTCCGACTCTGTTGTTCAATTTAGACTAGTGCTCAATTAACAGCTCTTCAGAAGTTCGACTAGTGCAGTAGTGCTCAATTAACAGCTCTTCAGAAGTTTGACTAGTGCAGTAGTGCTCAATTAACAGCTCTTCAGAAGTTCGACTAGTGCAGCAGTGCTCAATTAACAGCTCTTCAGAAGTTCAGAGATAGTTTATTCTAAGTTTTTAACTCGAATGATAAAATATACACCTAATGGTAATTTGACAGTTAAAACAACTATTGGCAACAACCACCTGATAAGCCAGCAATATTTATCGGATAAAATGATAAACTTCACACACACTCTTAGAACTGCCACGACAGCCAAACTATGTAAATCAAAATTTGCAGCCTATATACTTCTAAAGATATTAACTACTTACATAGAATGTGATAATCAACTAGGTATATCCCTACCTTGAAATGCTATTTAACAAGTCTAGCAAACAAAATATGCATCCACCAACAAGCATCGCATCAATGTTAAAAAGCAGCCAAGCTACACAAGAACGAAGCAAAATTAGACACACTTAATATACCTGAGGAATTGGCTGTTGGATTACAGATTCGACAGCAACAATCATAGCTTGCACAAAGTCATCCCCACCGGTTCCAATTGCAGTGAACCCCCTAACAGTTGGGTATGAATTCACCTACATAGCACATAACCCAAGTATTTATCATGATAATTGAAAAGCCACAAAAGTGATAAAGAGCCACAAAATAGTAAAAAAAAACACAAGCATATATGAACACAAACCTAAAACTAAAAAGCAATACCAGAACTAATGAAATTTAAACAAAACAAACACATAATGAATGAACTATGAACACCTTTTGGTCCAAAGCAACCCATTCATTAGTAGAATCATCAGTCACAGTGCCTCCAATAACCATATTCGTTGTTTGCCCAATCCTCCCCTCAGTCTTAGATACCTCTGCAACCATTAACCAATTGTGCACAATGTTATGAACTTTTATTTTAAGCACTTTTTTTTAAAAAACTAATCAAATGGTTGAGATTTGAGAAGATGCAATTATTACCTGAAATGGCCTTCAACACAGCTTCTTGAGGAGGACCTTGATCGTCGTGAAAAGACGGCTTATCATTATGAGAGCAGCGGATAACTCCTCCACCGCCACCGTGAAACGGACGAGCCTTAATGGTTCTGCAACGAAATCCTCCTCGCTTATTCGGATTCAAATCAAAAAGTAAGGGTTTGAATTGGAATTGGAATTGAAATGGTTCCACAATAATCGCTGAACGAAGCATGCTCCTGCACGCCATTTTTGTTTTTTCTCTCTTCTTCTCTTCTCCCGCTTTGTACTCTGAAAGAACACAGATTAACACAGATTTTTTTCCGATAAGGAACAAATGAAATGTCTTTAATACCCTTACCAATTTGAAATATTCCGAGGGTTTTATTGACTTTTTAGTTTTTTCTATAACCCTAACCAAAACTCTTCACTCGATTCGGATTCATCTTCCGATGTACGAATCGGAGAATAACCGTGAAGATTCGGAGCGAACGGCTTTCCGACGAACAGAGAAGAAGTACAAGCTCTACTTCGATAACAATGCTTCTTCCAAGAACAAAAAGTATTTGATTTCTTCTAAATGCAGTTAGTTTTCACTCTGTTGTTACTTTTTCAGATCCTAATTGTGCAATTTTCTTTCTTCTCAGGAATAAACAACCCAAACCGGTGGACTTAACGGAGGTACTTGACTTCAGATCGATTCTAGAATGCCATCATCGCAACGTTGAGCTTCCTCATGGTGTTTTCGTTCTTCAGGACAAATTCAGTTCTCCAGTTTTCTCTTTGCAAAATCACCCTGGTAATGTTTTTCTTCTTTTTCTATGTTTTACATGTTAGTAGAGATTTGACTAATCATTGATTAGCTAGAAACTAATAAACTAAATTAACTTAATCATGTGTGGTGATGCTTATTGTGCAGGCTTTTATTTTATCCCTGGGGCGTTAAGCTTAGAGAAACAATGTGATTTGATAAGGGAGAGTTTAACTGAATTTCCGCAGCCACCTAACAGAACTAATCACAATGCTATATATGGTCCTATACACAATTTATTTGTTGCGGCTAAAGAAGGGAAAGTTTTGGTTGAAGAGAAATCTGCAATTACTTCGCATGAATGTAGTTCTGATTTGAATTGTAGGGGTGGTGAGGAATGGAAGTTTTTCACGGAAAAGGAAGCGTCCTTGAGAAAATGCAGATCTGTTTCTGGTTCTTCTTTGCTGCGAAAGTTGCGATGGAGCACCCTTGGCTTACAGTTTGATTGGTCCAATGTGAGTTATGATTCACCCTTCTAATGTTTTTCGGCTGCATTTAGATTTAGATTTTAGTTATATCAATATGCTTATTTTGTTTGGAATAGAATGGAATCATATATACTAATGTATATTGTTGCACTTTTGCTTTGGAGAACTAGTAGCTGGTTGATTGACTCCCAATGATCTACTACTTAGCATACATCCCATTTTGTGCGAGATAGAACTCTCTTTTTAGTTGTGACTGAGATATACAAGAAAGTTGTCCTTGTCCATAAAAAGTTGCATCACGATACCAGGGTCTCAATGTTCTTGTAGCATGCACCGCACCTTGTTTAAACAACAGACTTTTGAGATTGATGATTCGTCATTGTTATTTAAAGATTGCTCAAGTATACCTTAAATTTTATTAGCTCACAAATATTCATTTACCCTGTTGTGATGATGTCAAATAAAATATTTTTGAAAATGCTAACAAGCACTTAATGATATATAGTAATAATGTCTTGAAATTTGTGTAGTCAGTCAATTCTTTAAAAGTCTAAATATGCTCTATTCAACACAACATTTTCCTTTTTTCTTGTTAGCACTTGTTAGCATGACCCAACTTTTTTAGGTAATGTTATTGATATTTAAAGTTGCATCACCTTGATATGCTTGTTGTTGTTGGGAAATCTCTTGATGATTATGTATATGTACAGAGAAATTATAATGTGTCTCTCCAGCATAACAAAATCCCTGAAGCACTCTGTGAGCTTGCCAAACAATTGGCAAAACCTGCATTACCTGCTGGTGTTGAATTCCAGCCTGAAGCCGCGATAGTAAATTACTTTGCATCAGGTTCGCACAAAGCAACTTTTTTTTATTGTCAGTTTTCTTGTGTGATGGTTCTACATGGCCTCTTTTCACTCCATTTTTTAGTTTAATTCCAATGCATGTTAAGGTTTGTTTGTTTTAATTTTTTGTAAAACGAATGTTGAAAGAATAGAGTTTAAAGAAATTGATTTGTGTTTGGGAATGCTTTTTAAAAGCAAGTTTAGAAGAATCTATTTTACTTGGTTGATGTGAATGCCTTTGTGTGTCCCATTTCAAGGATACATTACTATGATGTAAAAATTTGAAATTTGTATGTCTCTGAAAATTAGTTGTACTCAAATCACCTGAACAAAAAGTGCTCAAACTGTGTGTTATCCAAACAAGCACTAGTAGTAACAAACAATATCTCCTTTTGTTAAAATAAAAATACCTATATGTATTAGCAGTTTTAACACACAACACGACACCATACAGTTCAGTGATTTACCTCTTACTTCGATGTATCTATTATACTGCAGGAGACACACTGGGTGGCCACCTTGATGATATGGAAGCAGATTGGAGTAAGCCCATAGTTAGTTTAAGGTATTATGCTTATTTCTTTGGACTATCTTGTTTTTTGGTTTCTAGACCCAAACATGTCAAATGAGAGTTTTAAAAGGTACTAGGATATGAATCCTTATTAGTTTCTTGTCTTCGTTGCCTCAGCTTGGGCTGTAAAGCCATTTTCTTATTGGGAGGAAAATCTAGAGAAGATGCTCCCCTGGCGATGTTTCTTCGGAGTGGGGATGTTGTACTCATGGCTGGAGAAGCAAGGGAATGCTTTCATGGTAAATATTATACCCTTTAAAGATATATATGCTATAAACATAGAGTCGTATAATATTAAATTTGAATCTTAAAAGAAATCATCACATTCTCATGAAACTACATTTTATGACCCATTTAGAATTCTTTATTAAATAAAATCAATTTATTATTGTAACTATTTAATCAAACAAGGTTTTCTCTTTTACTTTTTACATTAATTTCCCCAATTAAAAACAGAGTATATTAGGATGTATGTAAAAAATAATCATTAAATGTTAAATGGTTTTAGTTTCTGATTAATCTCTCTAGTACTATTCAAACATTTTTACAATCATTTTTTTTAAGAATATTGATTATTTTTTTATAACGTTGATTTTTTTATTTCAAGAAATAACCATAGCTATGACTTAACTGTTCATTACATAATATATTTTCTTGTTAAATCATACTAGAATTTTATATGACCATTTGAATTATGTCACTTGGATGAGGATTATTAATGGGAATTCACATAATTTAAGATTGAGCTATTAGGAAAGTGGTTGCGGAGGTTAGAGATAGATAATTGGGGTTGCTGGTTATGGTACAAGGTATAGAACTATAAAATATGACAGCGGGCAGTCAATATTGGGTGAGAATCTGAGGGTGTGCTCTTCTTGGTGAAAAGATGTAAACAAGATGGATAAAAGGGTATGGGGTTTTAGGATGTGAACTTGTAGGAAAAGCTTTACTTGTGGGAGGAAGAACTGTTGAATGAAATGCACTGTGTGGTTGGTTCTGTTTCAGTAAGGAGGATTAGTGTGATTGGTGGATTGATGAAAGATCACTCTGGACGGCTGTTTATTTGTCAAATGACAAGTCCAATGGTGGCAGATATAAGGAGGAAAAAAGGGTGAGTGGAAGTGGAGTTGGAAAAGAAAGCTTTACTGGTGGGAGGAAGAACTGTTGAATGAAATCCAGAGTATGGTTGGTTCTGTTTTGAGTAAGGAGGATGAGTATGATTGGTGGATTGGGAAAGGATGAAATATAAGTCTTGACGGCTGTTTATTTTATCAAATGACAATTCAGCAATGGTGTCAGATATAAGGAGGTTAAAAGGGTGAGTGGAAGTGGAGTTGGAAAAGAAGGCTTTAGTTGTGGGAGGAAGAACTGTTGAATGAAATGCAGAGTGTGGTTGGTTCTGTTTTCAGTTAGGAGGATGAGTGTGATTGGTGGATTTGGAGGGGGAAGGAACATTAGGACAATATTTTGTAAGTGAGGCATATAAGGTCTGTAAGGACTCAAAATAGGGTTGTAGTAGATACCTGTCTAAAAGTATGGCATAAGTAACCATTGAAGGTGTTTTTCTTTGTGTGGAGGATGATTCAAGATAGAATTCCACCTACAAAGAACACATTTTAAGAATGGGGATCCTTGGACCAGATGTGCACCAGTGTGTTTGGGACTGTGGCCTAGCTGGGTCCATGAAACACTTTTTCCATGAATGTCCTGTACTTTCGAGGTATGGTATTAATTATTGAGGTGGATTGGTGTGGTAGCTGTTTTGCATAATGAAACTATCGAAAAATTCCAACACTTTGGTGGTTTGATGGCTGAGTATTTGAAGATAGATTTGTGTATGATTTGTGTGTTTGGGAAGGCAAGTCTGTTTTGGTTGAGTATTATGGAGCAGGCACATAATGGCGTGGAGATGGTTAAAGAAAGAATCTGAAGATGGTTGCTATCCTTATCATTTTGGTTCACCTGCCCTGCTGCTTGTTTTGGTGTCTATTGATAAATTGCAGTATGGAAGAGTTGGGGTGGTGATTTAGTAGTTGAGTTGAAATTTAGAAGCTGTGGTGGTGGCTTGGTATTCACTTACATTGCTGAGTTTGTAATTACAATTTCCTTATTTGGTGTGGATTGGCTTTTAGTCTCTGTCGATGGCGTATTTTGTTTGGGGAGTTAATCATCTGCATAGCATTCCGACACATGTAAATTGCTAAGAATGAGAGTGTGGAAAGACTAGGAGGTTGGAAGTATTGGGCTGCTGGAAAATAGTTGTTCCACAGGAACGTTCTTACCTGTTATAAGGCTATGTACTTGCCTCTATTGTTGTCAATATCATTAAGCAATGCTTGTATTTTTGGTTGTTAGACTTCTCTCCCAACCTTAGCAACTTGTGCTTTGTGTTAGTGTCTTTGAATAAATCCCTTTGCCTTTTGAAAAAAAGTGTCTTATATTTATTTGTTTAGCTTCAAAGTTCTGTTTAATATCGGAGACTGTCTTATTATGCATGTTGTAGGTGTTCCTCGGATCTTCACTGACAAAGAAAATGCTGAGATAGGCCATCTTGAGACACACTTGAGGCAAGAAGATGATCTTTGTTTCCTAAAGTATATTCAAACTTCAAGAATCAACATCAATATCAGACAAGTTTTTTAAGTAATATTTTCTTCTTTCAAAATGAAATTTTTTTAGATTATGAGAAAAGAAAAAATATATATAATTTCTGTTTAATCTGGATATTATATATCATGTTCAGCAATCCTTGCCACGAAATCTTCTTATAGCTTATGTTTGCTTTGTGGTGAAGCTTGCAATTTGCAGAAGCAATCTAAATTAACAACTTATTATTGACATCCTGAAGACGATATATATCTCATCTCATACATGAATACCGAAATATAAGACTAATAAATTAGATACCCATGCTACCTTGTAGCCATGAGTTATACTAACACTGCCAAAAGCTGTTGTAGAAGTTTATGGTCGGAGCAACTAGTGTGCACGCAGAAAGATGGCAAGAATAATACACAATCTTTAACCGCGCACGGCTTCTGCCTTGTCGACAAGTAGTTCCGGATTTTAGATAAACAGTTCTTGAATTTTTCATCAAAACAAATCATGTTTTGCAAATAACTGTTGTATGGTCATGGACTCATGGTGTAAAAGACAAAAATAAATGGCCCCAATATTTTTGTTATATGGGACTTTCTTCCCCGCTTGAACCATCTAAATTTAACCAAGTGGTGGAGAAATCTTCCACATGAATCTCGAAGTAAATTACATCATTACATTTTTCACTTATTCAGATAAAATTGAAGGCTAAAAGTAAGTTGAACCATTTTCATATTACTGAGTGATTTTCATAATTCACTTGTAAATGTGAAAAAGTAACACTTGTAAAATAAAATTTGCTTCACAATTTTATTTAATTACTATTGACAATTATAATTCTAAATTTACTTTATTTGGGTTATATTTTTGAGTTTAAAGCATTGATAATGTAAAAACGTTTTTATTTAATAGAAACATTTCGTTTTAAAGTTTTTAAAAATTAAGGTATAATTTAATGGAATTTATGATTGTGATTGGTAGTGCATCACTTCTTTTTTTCTATATTTTTTAAAAATGTTTTACGTGTTATTATTATTTTTTTCTGCGTTAATTGCACAGCACCGTTAATTAAGAAGTGGCGTTTCCAGAAGAGAAACCACAATTGAAAAAGAAAACATCTACACTAGCATCCAAACCCAAACTTGTTATAGCCACCAAACATAGTTTCGTCAACGTGTACAATTCCACAACCACTTTATTTATTTATTCATCTCTTTATTAAATAATTCTATCTTATTCACCACTCCAATTAAAACTCACAAAATCTTTATCTCTTCTTTCCCTTTACATTTCCCCTTCTAACCCCCTCAGTTCATCAATCTTCATCTCCGTTAGTATCCTCTTCTGTTCAAGCAAATGGGTCCACTCGTGCTGAGCCAATTAGCCACCGGTCTAAGCGTCCTAGCCGGAGCGGTTCTCGTTAAATCGGTTTTGGACCAAAAACCCATGGCGGGCCAATTTCCCAGATGCCCCAGCTGCAACGGAACCGGTCGAGTCCCTTGTCTCTGCTCACGCTGGTCTGACGGTGATGTCGGTTGTAGTACGTGTTCCGGTTCGGGTCGCATGGGTTGCAGCAGTTGTGGTGGGTCCGGAACCGGTCGACCCTTACCTGCTAGAATTACAGTACGACAACCGAACCGCCCATCCTAGTTGACCGGTTCGGTCTAGAGTTCGCTGTCATCGCTGCTCCCTCTAGCGTTAGTAACATTTTATACATGTTCTTATTTTTATTTTATTTTATTCTATAGGTATTTGTGTAATATAAGTGCAAATTTGACACTTGAAGTAGAGAGGAAAAAAGGGATATTATCATGTTGTAATTAAATTACTCTGTAAGTAAGAAGAATCTTGATCATCATCTTCATCATATAATTTTGATTAATCCTATTTAAACTCTCTTTACAAGGCTTAATTTTGTTGTGTTAAGATGTTAATTTTTGCACTTGTAATGAATTGAATGTTACCGTGCAATGACGAACGCAAGGCAACTGGCCAAATTGACTGGTTGAATCCAAAAAGAAAATAGTGTTTTTATTATGAAATAAGTCTTTGGATCCTTTCAGAGGATTCTGCAAGTGAATTTAAAAAGACTTTGGCTCTAAATGTGTTTGGTTGGTTTTTAGATGCCTAACACTAAATTTGTTCAACTTTATCTTATTTCTTTCTAATTGCTAACAATTTGGCTAGTGATTAGGCATTGAATAATTTTCATGTTAATTTGTTGAATTGTTTAGTTCCTAGTGCGCCTATGATGCAATTTTGTGCTTGTATGCTGGTTTCCAAACTTTACTAGTTAAGATGGATTTAAGTAAGATGTTATTTTAATTTTAATTATTTTGGATCGTCTTATTTTATTTATTAGATATTTTGATGCTTGAATTGTTTGGGCATTAATATAGAAGTTAATTTTTTTTGATAAACAAGAATATTAATCGTAAGGGAATTTCTTAGTACATTCTTATATGGACGAAAAAAACTTTTGATAATCTCAAAATATCTTTTGGATATGCATATTTAAACGAATTTATAAATTAATTTTCAAGGTATTTTGGAGATGTATATTAAAAAATCTCATGTTTACACGTTATTATTATTTGAATGTTGGATTTAAATATTTTGTGATATTTTTGGATACGCATATTCGAAAATACATTTGTTATATAACTTTGGTTAATAATCGTCACTACCATTATTTTATTTGTTGTGAATCTTGTTGTAAATTACAACAAAATTCAATATCAATTTGTGAGCCAAAGAATAGTAGCAATTAAAATAAATGGTCTACAACAATAATAATTCATACACAGATAATATAACAGAATAAAGCGAGAAAAAGACGAAAGTTTGTTTATCCAGTTCGATCAAACGATCTACTACAAGGGAGAGAGCAACTCTCCTATTCATTATACTCAGGAAGTTGTTACAATAGTTTACAAATGAGTTATAAGAAAATAGTCTTGGCCTTCACGTTCCCAAGAACAATCCTGAAAGCGCTCAAGAATTACCCTATTTTTTACCCAAGTATTTTCCAACCTCTTCAACCTTCATATATATATATGAATAATCCAAATTCAAGGTGTAAACAAGTGTTTGATTTTTCAAAACTCTTTCCTTTCTAAGGTTTCCCTTGAAAATAGTCAAAACTCTATGGTATACCTTTAAACTCTTGCTCTCCCTTGTTGTTGTAAGCTCTATTATTGTCACACGTGCAAGCATATGAGAGATACATATTTATAATAGCAAATATTCAACAACTAGAGTTCAAAATCACAATCCAATCACACATGATCAAACCAAAAGAGTCTGAAACACGTAAAACCAGAAATTGTCGAAAAAGTTCGAAAAACCCGAAATCACTATTCACCGTCAGTACGGTTCACTATTCACTGTTCGTTCGGTTCACTATTCAAGATCTGTACGATCATACGATTTTACTATTCGTCCGCACGATCGTACAATTTTTTCCGACTTCTGGTTTTTCGGATTTTTGATCGACTTTTTAAAACTTTTGATTTTCGCAGTATATGCAATCTCTAAAAATATGTTTTCTTTCTTTTCATCAACATTACAAAAATATGTTTTCTTTCTTTTCTAAAAATATGTTTTCTTTTTAAGGCACATTACAAAAATCTTCACCTTGAATTTAAACCGTGTTGATACCAATTTAACCATCAACAACATTATTGCTCTCTACCAGATTAAAACTCTAATCAATAACATTGATCAAATTCAAACAACCCTTGAATCTTGATCTCGTCACTTGCATCCACTTGTTTCCAATTAACCTTTTCTGCCTAGGTAATTTAACAAGCCCATAATTATGACTTTTCAACCAACCTTGACTCCACTTGTTTTCAAATGTCTCCCTTAAAAGTTTTTCTTCTTTTATTTTGCAGTCCTTCAGCCACATTCAAAATATAATATTCAAGATTAGCATAACCGTCCCTTTGAGATGCTACAATAACCCTCTTTACCTTATCATGAGTAAATTGATAATCATAGATCACTGTAACCGTTCTCTCACTATTACTAGCATCTATAGTAGGAAACTCCACCTCAAATTGAGTTTTCTCTGTTATAGTTTTTACCAGGTTTCTCCCTTGATTTTCACTATTCTCCCTCTGAAGAAATTCTCTATCAATCAAGTAAATTATTTTAACCTCGACTCTTTCCCATAAACTCAATAACAACTTAGCGGTAACATGCATTTTTATTGCTTGACTTATGCAAAATTCATTATACTCCTCTGAAACTTTTTCAAGGCATTCATAACGCCTTAAACTCAAATTCCACAGTTTTTCTTTGTCATGAAAGCCTCTACTAGTTAACGATGAATGAATAACAACATTTGAACCTTCTAAAATATATAGACCACATATTTTAGACTCTTTAGCAATAATCAATTCATCACGCGAAATCTTCAACTCCATGTTCAACTCTAGGACAATAGCCTAGATCATCAAACATAATTATAGATAATAAATTTCGCTTGAGTTCTGGAATATACCTCACACCGTGAATAAAAAGTTCACGATCATCAAACATTTTAAATCTAACCGTACCAATAACATAAATCTGGCAAGCCTTATTATCACCAAGGCGAACTACTCCACCTTGTATCATCTTCAAAGTTTTAAAGTATTCTATTTTTGGACACATGTGATAAGAGCAACCTGAGTCAATGATCCAACTATCTTCAGTTTCTAAACTAGGTACTACTAGTGCATCGACATCCTCATAACTTCCTCATCCAAGGCAACTACAACTTGAACATAATCTTCATTGACCTTTCTCTTAGGACAATCTATTTTTAAAGTGACTGATTTTATGACAATTAAAATATTTTACCTTTGACTTGTCAAACCTCTTTGATTTGGACATCCCTTTACGCTCACCTCCTCATCTTGACACATTTAATCCTTCACCAATATCATCAATCTTCAAATATTTCGACTTTGATTTTTTTTTTGGATTTTAGCGCTGTCTGGACTTCATCCAAAGTAATAGTATCTTCCTTGCCATAAAGAAGGGCATCCTTAAAGTGCTCAAAGGATCTGGGTAATGAACTCAACATGAGCAAAGCCCTGTCCTCATCATCAATCTTCACTTCAATATTCTCAAGATCATCAATAATCTTGTGAAATACTGTAAGCTGATTAACTATGGATTTGTTCTCTACCATTTATAATGAATAAAGTTGTTGTTTGAGACACAACATGTGAGCCAAAAACTTTGTCATATACAATAATTCAAGTTTTGCCCACATAGCAACTGCATTTTACTCCCTGGAGACTTCTCTTAGAACTTTATCCCCGAGGCACAAGATAATGACACTCCTGACCTTATCCATCATCTCGGTCTTCTGCACCTGTGTAAGCCCTATAGACATCAATGCGTCACTCTTCAGAGCATCTATATACTTCTCTTGAATTAAAATTGCATGCATCTTAATTTTCTACAACCCGAAGTCGTGTTTCCAGAAAATTTCTCGATCTCCGATCTAACCATGGTGCTCACTTGTAAACAATATCTCTTTGCTCCATGCTCACTGCACCACTTGTTATGAATTACGACAAAATTCAATATCAATTTGTGAGGCAAAGAATAATAGCAACCAAAATAAATTGTCTACAACAATAATAATCCGTACACAGATAATATGACAAAATAAGACGAGAAAAAGACGAAGGTTTGTTTACCTAGTTCGATCAAACGTTCTACTCTGGGAGAGAGAGTGTTGGAGTAAACCCTAGAGGCCAATGATCTCAGTACTTGTATCAAATTATTAATTAATAATTAAAATTAATTCTTTATTATGTTTGTTTTTTCAAAATAATAAAGTACCTAAAATAGCTATTCGTTTAATGAAATGTTAAGTGTGACTTAATCATGAAATCTGATTAAACATAAGGAAACTATTCTTAAAGTGTCCGTAGTTGAGCTTTATTGTGAAGTGGGATAACATTAAAACATTGAGACTATTATGTGGATATACTGATGATCACATCTCGTGGATCATGGATAAAGAGTTATCAAGTCTTCACATATGTATGAATATTAGGAGTAATATTTATACTGAATTGATTCGCTATGAGAATACTACATAGAAAGTTATGCAAAGTGTCATAAGTTATTCTCATAGTGATAGTGGTGTATACCACCCTTCGACCTGAAACTATTATGGACCCTAGATGTGGAGTTGAGTACTTGATTTCTGATCAAACGTTGCCCGTAACTGGATGGTCATAAAGATAGTTGATAGGCACTCCACATAGCATGCCGAGGAACATGAGTGACCTAGATGGAATTTACCCATCATGTGTAACAGGATAAATGTCTAAGGACCCAATATTGAACCAGAGAAGGATGACACGACATATGCCTTGAGTTTAATATAGATACGAGGGAAAAGGATAAATGTACACACAAATATTATCACAGAAAAAGTTTTGTCACATCACATGACATTTTCGTGACTTGGGTAGGAGTGATGTGTTGCTAGATACCACTCACTGTTTATTATATTAAATGTATGATTTAATATAATTGCCAACATTACGAGAACCTACAGAAACACACACATAAAGACAAATTGATGAGAGATATAATAAATAAGGAACATCGTAAAATACAGTGTACTTGAGAGAATT